GGTTTAGGGGTTTAGGGTTCCTGTAGGGGAGCTATAATTCTTTTTCGTGGTTTAGGGTGTGAGTAGTAAGATGCAATCATAAAGATCTATAGTGGTCAATCATAGGGATTCCTTGCTATGGTAACTTCAAATTAAATCCGTTTGCAAAAACTCAGGTCGGCATTGGCACTTCGCAAAGTGCCAAAGAGTTTGCGGAGCAGGTCGGTTTGCCGCCGGAGATTGTTTTCGGTGATGATGAGGCAGCGTCCTACCAAGCCTTGCGATTCGTGAATTCCGACTTTTCGGAGGATGGTCGACAGCGTGGAATGCGCATGATGACAGAAAAGACCGCACAAGCGGTGAAGAGCAGGGCCAACGGACGCCCCGTGAGCTTCTTCGGCCTCTTCGATGTGCCAGGCCTCTTCACCAACGATGACCTTGAGACAGCAAAGGAGATTTACAAGCCGCTGATGCCGCAGGGCGACAACTCCTTTGACAAGACGCTTGTGCAAGGCGGCGTGTTAGTCTTCAATGGGCAGGAGCAGATCTACAGGCACCGTGATACCAGTGTGGGCGTACATGCTGACCTCACTAAAGTGATGGCTGCAGCAGTAGCCTAGGGCCTGCTCCGCAGGCCACGAGACAAGTTTTCAGCAGCACTGCAGTGCTGCTCCATCTTACAGAATCGTCGTTTTCAAGCCATTAAGGAAAGTCATGGAAAGTCCAGGCGGCAGCCGCCATCGTCAGGGCCTGTTCCTCCATAGTCCATCGTGTGAAAGAAATCGACAGTTCAGTCACACTTCTGCTGTTGTCAACTGCTGTGCTCTTGTCTGATTGTGCACTGCCGATACGTTCATCTTTACTCGCGAGAGCTGCTGCAGCGACGGGTGTCGTGACTCGCCCTTCCTGACCGTTTGGTTGGACGATGATTCGCCCTGAGGCTGTGAAGCTTTGCGAGGGATGCCAGAAGCAGACCCAAGCTGTGGTTGGAGCCGAAAAGCTTCCACGTCTTCGCGTGCTCAGTGAAGTTATGACCCCAAAATGTAGAGCCCCAAAAGCCCTGCAACCCTAAACCCCTGTCCTTTCCGCAGCTGCAGAGGCTGGACCATCGCCGTCGAGATGTTTCGTGCCTCGTTCTTTCTTTCGATCCAAGGGCGCCAGAGTCGGGCCACCCCTAAAACCCTCAAAGCCAAAAACCCTGAAACCCGAAATCTTAGAGATAATCAGAAGCATCCCAAGGATGTCCATCTTGAACCCTAAACCCCAAAACCCGAAAACCTAAAAGCCCCAAAGCCCCTAAACCTTGCCTGTAACCGAAAAGACCTACCTTTTTAGGATTCCTTATTATGGAGCCTTTATATAGTTCCCTTAAAAAGGTAGGTCTTTTCAGTTACAGGTAACCCCAATTGAATCCCAAGGATGCGGCCTGGAGGCGGTCGTGGAGGTTCCGCAAGTTGCCTGTAGCGCGGCCGTGGCATCCTGTGGGAGAGCTGCCCAGTGGGAGTCGCCAGCCTGAGTTCGGTTTAAGGGTTTAGGGTTTAGGGTTCAGAAGACTATAGTGGCCTTAAGAATTACGTATACTTTTTTTTTGTTTTTTTTTGGGGGATACCTTGTTATAAGCATAGTATGATATACACCAAAACCCTGTTCTAATTATTAAGGCCCCTATATGTACACTAGGTTTACTAGGGCGTTTAGGGGGTTTAGGCGTTTTAGAGGCTTCTATCTATATGGTTCCATAAGGATTCTAGAATGGAGCCCTTTGTGTTGGGGTTCGGTTTGGGGGTTTAGGGGTCGGAGGCTTGCGGTTTGGGTCAACCAATCAGTCACCAGACCATCGTCCTCAGAGAGAGTAGTAGTATTCTTGAGGAGACCTCTTGAGGACCCTACTTTATGGCTGTCTTAAAAGGGACCCTTATTGTGAGGATCTAGATCCCCAAAGGCCCCCCCCCCTAATCCCAACTCCTAAGAGAGCCCCCCTTTAATTATGGGCTTGGGTTCTCCTGGGTCTACAGGCAGTTCTCTAAATCAGGGTTTAGGGGTTTAGGGTTTAGGGGTTTCTAGAGGGTTGTTTATGGGTAGTTCTCTAAATTAGGGTCTTGTTTTGGGTCGAAGAATATACTACGGCACCCTTATAAAAAAGGACCCCTAAAAGGGGACCCTGAGAACTACCCCTATAGTAACTCGTAACCTGAGGATCGCCCTGCGGATGCTAGCCATGCTTCAGTGTCGGAAGATGAAGATCGCCGTTCCCGCCTGCAATGCGGCCATTTCAGCCTGTGAGAGGAGTTACCGCGCTTCGGCACAACATCCCTGAACCCTAAACCCTAAACCCTAAACCCCAAACCCCAAACCCTAAACCCTAAACCCAAAACCCCAAACCCTAATGTTCCAATAAAGCCCGGTACCTTTAAGCAGAGCCCTTATCCCCAAGGCTGTAGTACCCTTTCAGGCACCCTGAAGTACCGGGCTACTGTAGCAACCTGCCTTGGGCTAGTTGCATCATGCTACGCCGCTAGTCAGACTACACCTTCGTCCTACTTGCCATCCGTCACTCCCTTTAGTGCTCCTTTAAGAGTTCCGTTAAAGGTTCCTTTACGGGGTTCCTTCAAAATTTTCTCATTTGATCTACAGAGGATCTGTTTAGGTTTTAGTGGTACAGTGGGTGTTGCACCCCATTGAAGCATCAATTCGTAGCCGCAACCAAGGTTGGCCTCTCAGCCTTGTGCTGTTCAGGGAGCTCCGTGCTCCTCGGAGCTGCAGATGTTCCACCACTGAAAGCCAATGGCGAGAATGGGATGCCAAAGACTTCTGACAGTCTAGATTCTAGATGTATATATACCTCTATACGCATATCATATATTCCATTATATTGTATCATATTATACTTCGTTATATGTATATATATATGTGCATGTCCGCAGCAATTTAGGCTTTGGGATTGCGGTGAAAGAGCGACATGCTCTCTGTCTCTCTCGCTGTCTCTCGCTCGGTCTCCGTCTCTCCCTCTCCCTCCTGCTCTTCTCTCCATCTTTGTGTCCCTCACTCGCTTTGCTGTTGGTGGACCTTTTCTGAAACTATCTCCCATTTCAGTCTGTCCAGGAAGGGCTATGTCATTCAGGCACCACAGGACGTAAGTACTGAAACCGCACGGCTTAATTATGGAAGAGATTCATGATCGCAAGGTCTCGGGCCTCGGGTGTACCATTTCTGAACACATTAGGATTTCCGGCTTGCCTGTCTCTTAGTTTCTGCGCCTGCGTTGCTGGACGGTGAGAACCAGCCCTACAACAGATGCAAGACTAAGCCAATATGCATCACAACCCCTACCAACACGAAACCCTTAAGCTCTAAGAACCCTACAGTCTTAAGCCTCTCGCTTCCGTTGAGGTCCACGCACAAGCTCTCCGAGTCCCTCAAGGAGTCCCTCCGACCGAGGCTGCTGAAGAAGCAGTCCTCAAAGCAAGCCGATGAGGCCGGCGGCGATCAAAACTCGGTTCAGGGTTTTATTTGGGAATTGGGTTTAGGGTTTAGGGTTTTTGTTTGGCATTGGGACCGATTTGAGGTCGGACGCTATCGTCACAGAATGAACTGACCCCATTGACGCGCAGACGGGTTCCAAGAAAGGGCATCGCGCCTCCTTGTTGTTGCTAGGGTGTTGTTGTAATCGGTTGTTTGTCCTGCTGGTAAGTTTGCCGGAGTATTGTGTGCGCGCAATGCCCCTCCCATGCCGTCAGTTGTTGTTTGTTGTGCGCTATGCCGCTTGGAAATATGATACCCGAAAATCATCCGGAACTTGTATATTGTTGTTTTGGCATGGGCTGAAGATACAGCGTCCGTCCTACTTCGGCTGCAAACGAACCAGCAGGTGAAATCATGGGCAGGGAAGCATGTTCGCATGGCGAGTCAAAACCAAGCAGCCAGCAACAACTTGGCCACAACCAATGGTAGCATGTAGCATAAATCAGCTAACCAAGAGACGGATGGATGTAAGTTTCATTTGGATGCACAACATTATGCAAACTGCATTCAGAGAAATCAGGAGACAAACACAGTGCATGGTGTTGCCGCAAACAGTCCAAGATTGAAAGTTTAGCTTAAGCCCCGAGCTTCAACTGTCAAAACTCACCCTCTGCGTGTTGTGAATCCCAAACCACGCAGTTCCACGAGTCTCTAGAGCCTATAGACACCCAATGCCTGAAACGCTTTGTACATCTGCCACAGACATCCCTAGGCCTGGTGCCGCCACCCAAATCCTAGCTGCCGACAGGTCTTGGATGCCTTTCTCAAAGCGCTGATGAACGGGCCGGTGCTCAAGCGTGGGACCACACTGCGCTTTGAGTTTGAGAAGGCCGGAGCGCCGGATAGGAGACAGGATCGTGTTCTGCCACTTCCACGGGAAATTGGTTGTTTTGAACTCTACTTGTAGGATGGTTTTACAGGTACAGGGTTTATCGGGCTTATGGTTTCTGTCTTTGGGAGTTTTGGGGAGAGTCTGTGCGATTCTGGATCGGGCCGGTCAGGACTTTTCCTTGTGCTTGTGTCGTGCTGGAGTTTGACATCTTAGAAGTTCGAGGGGGGTCTCGACAGAATGCAAGCAGGTTGTTGTTTTCGGCCTCCCTTTGCATTCGGCATACGGAAATGTGCAGACATAATCGTTTCTGTGGAGGAATCAGGTTAGAATCTTAGCCAAAACTGCAGTGCCAGAGAGTTCCTTGATGGGAAGGAAAGACGAACCTTAAGCAAGCTCCCGCTCGAAAGTTCACGCTAATTGAATCCGCAACCCTAAACCTTGGCTGAGCGCCGACACCCTTGGCCATTTGCACCAGGCCAGCGTGAAAATTCGTATGGGCGAGAAGTACGCGGCCGGACCCAAACTTGCCAGTGCTCGGGTGTCCCCAGTATGGTCACCTGGGTCCTCAGGTAGGGCTCCTTAATACGACAATACTACAACCAGTCAACAATGTCCCAGACCCTTGCTTTTTGTTATTCTCGGGCCCTTACCTTATAGAAACCCACATGGAAGCCTGAAGGTGATGAACTTTGAAACACCAGGACCAGAACCCTAAACGCCGGGAGTTGCTTAGAAGATTCTCCTGGGGCTTTGATGCTCCAAGGATGCCACAGGAGGGACTTAAAAGCAAAAGAGTTCAAGAGGTTGTTAAGAGCTGAGGATATAAATCTGAAAGAGCCGAGGGCTGGATGCTTCAGAGTTTAGGGTTCATCACATACTGTTTAAGAATTCAGGGCTCTTTGTTGAGCAGCCTTTCAGGGTCTCGAATTTGCAGAGCAGTCTCTAGGATGTAGGTTAGATTTTCGGCACTAAGGTGCATGTTGTTTGTTGTTTCTTCTGCCGCATCATGTCAGCACCTTACGGAGACAAGAGAGAGAGAGAGAGAGAGAGAGAGAGAGAGAAATAGAGAGAGAGAGAGAGCGAGAGAGCGAGAGCGAGAGAGAGAGAGAGGGCGAGAGAGAGAGCGAGAGAGCGAGTGAGGGAGAGAGAGAGACAGAGAGAGAGAGAGAGAGAGAGAGGGAGAGAGAACCGAGGCCTCTCAGCCCTACGCCTTCAATCTAGCTCCTCATCAGTGGTATTCAGCATGTTCATGGTTCGCATCTCAGG